GCGCGCCAGCACGCCCCGCTGCTAAGCGCGCCAGCGCGCCTCGCAACCCTGCTGCCCAGCGCGCTGCTGCTGCACATACTGCTACTGCACATGCTGCTACTGCTGTGCTGTGCCCTGCCGAGCAGCGCTGCCCAGCCCGAGCCGCGCTGCCCTGCCCCTACTGAGCCGCACTGTCCTACTGCTGCTCGTGCTGCCACTGCTGGCACTACTGCTGTTACTGCGCTAGCCTGTGCCCTGCTGCCCACGTACTCTACTGACCTCCACAGTCACTTCAACAGTCGCTACTACTGCCCTTTCGCCGCTACTACTGACTGCCACTTCCTGTCATGGCCACTATCACGGTAGTCGCAGCGGCTAAGGGTGGACAGCAGTAGCCACTGCCTCTCTCGGACACGCTATCCACGAAGCAGCTTCGCGAGTGGGTTATTCAGCGAGCCTTTCCAGGTGGTGGAGGCTTTGGTTTTCTGCGTACTGCACAGCGGCGGCAGCAGAGTCAGCAGGAGACCTTCTCCCCGCAGCTGCTTAGTGAGTTGTTTTCTCAGCGATGTGTACCTGGTTATGTAGAGGTTGCTGCTCTAGGTGCTAGTGAGTCTGCTGCCGCACTAGGTGCTAGTGAGTCTGCTGCTGCTCCAGATGCTAGTGAGTCTGCTGCAGCTTTAGGTGCTCATGCGTCTACTGCCACAGGTCCTGCCTCAGCTGAGGCCTTGCACACTTTCACACTTGACTCAGGCGCGTCACGTTGCGTCTTTCGTGACAGCACCACACTCACACCACTTGCTGCACCGGTACCAGTCTCACTGGCTGACCCCACTGGGGGCCCAGTAGTCACACGAGCCTCCACTGTCCTCCCTTGTCCAGCATTCCCCTCCGGGTCTCTTTTAGGTCTCCACCTCCCCGAGTTCTCGACGAACTTGTTGAGCAACGCAGTTCTCCAGGATGCATGGGTTGACACTTTCATTCCTGGAGGACAGCGTGTGGTGATCTGCAAGTGCTCACGGACTGGCCGTCACCTTGCTACGTTCACTCGTCAGCCTGGGTCCGGACTGTACACACTGACCATTGCGTCTGCACAGGTGGCTGAGTCAGGTCAGGTGGCTGCGTCGAGTCGGGTGTCTGCGTCTGGTCAGCTTGCAGCGTCTTGCTCGTGTCGGGTACTCTCTCACCAGACTTTTCTCTGGCACCACCGCCTAGGTCACCCCTCGCTGCCGCGTCTCCGCAGCATGCACTCCCGTCTCCTTATCTCTGGCCTTCCCAGGTCCCTGCCCTCCCTCCCGCGCTCTCCTGCACCGCCGTGCCTTCCCTGCGTCGAGGGGCGGCAGCGCGTCGCTCCTCACTCCTCCGAGTTTCCTCCGACCACTGCTCCTCTGCAGACTCTCCACATGGACGTGTGGGGCCCGGCCCCCGTCGGTGGAACAGACCGCGAGCGCTACTTCCTGCTGGTTGTTGACGACTACACACGCTACACCACTGTCTTCCCCTTGCGGCGCAAGGCGGACGTCAGCGGTGTTTTGATCCCCTGGATCCGTGCTACTCCTCGCCAGCTGCGCGAGCGGTTTTGTCGGGACTTGCCAGTCCTGCGTCTGCACTCTGACAGGGGCGGTGAGTTCTCTTCTGGCCTCCTTGAGGAGTTCTGTCGAGACGAGGGCATCCGCCAGATGTTCACGCTTCCGGCCTCTCTTTAGCAGAATGGGATTGCTGAGCGTCGCACTGGCTTGATCATGGAGGTTGCTCGTACCTCCATGATCCATGCGGCTGCTCCCCATTTTCTGTGGCCGTTTGCGGTCCGATACGCTGTGCATCAGCTCAATCTCTGGCCCCGTGTCTCTGAGCCAGAGACCTCGCCCACACTCCGGTGGACGGGGAAGGTTGGCGATGCGTCGGTGTTTCGGGTCTGGGGCGCGCTCTCACTTGTTCGCGATGCCAAAGCGAGCAAGCTCTCCTCTCGCACTCTCCGCTGCGTCTTCCTTGGCTTCCCCACCGACGCCCCGTCGTGGCAGTTCTACCACCCTCGCGAGCGTCGATTTGTTTCCTCCCAGGACGTCACCTTTGACGAGTCTGTCTGTTTCTACAGGCTACACCCGCACGCGTCCCACCCGATCCCCCTAGCGCCTCTCTTCCTGGTACCAGTCCCCCCCCCGGTAGACCCCCTCCCCCCACAGGGTCTTGCTCCCTCAGGTGTGTCTCAGGTAGACCCACCCCCCTTGGTCGAGCCTTTGGAGATCTCTTCTGAATCCTCTGGCCCAGTTGAGGGGGGTGACCCCGCCGCTGACGACACGGCGGCCACTCGCCGCTCTCCACGCTTGGAGACCCCCCCTGGTTTTCCGCCTCGGCCGTCTTCGCCGCCTCCGCAACCTGCTGCTGTGGACTCTCGAGCTGGGACTACTGGTGCTGAGCCTGGGGATGCTGAGACAGAGGGTGAGGGTTCTGGGGGTGATGCGACTGGGGGTGCTGCGACTAGGGGTGTTGCGAGTGGGGGTGCTGACTCTGGGGGTGCTGCGAGTCCTAGTGGCGGTGGAACTGTGGGTGACCCTGCTAGACAGCCACCGCAGCCTGATCTACTTGAGACGCTCTCGCCGCAGGCGATTTGTGCGTGGATCGTTCGGTGAGGCAGTCCTGGTGGTGGAGGGTACGGTCCTGCTGGTGCTGGAGCTACTAGTCCTAGAGGTACTGCTGGTGCGGGAGGTGCTGGAGGTACTGCTGGAGGTGCTGGAGGTGCTGCTGGTGTTGGAGGTGCTGGAGGTGCTGCCGGTGCTGGAGGCGCTGGAGCTGGAGGTACTGGAGGTACTGGAGCTGCTAGTCCTGGAGGTGCTCTTACTGGAGGTACTGGAGCTGCCGGAGCTGGTGGTGCTGCTGGTGCTGGAGGTGCTGGAGGTGCTACTGGAGGTACTGGAGGTGCTGGAGGTGCTGGAGCTGCTGGTCCTGGAGGTGCGCGTACTAGAGGTGCTGGAGCTGCCGGAGCAAGTGGTGCTGCTGGTGCTGGAGGTGCTGGAGGTGCTGCTGGAGCTGCTGGCGCTGGAGGTGCTGGAGGTACTGTTGGTGCTAGAGGTGCTGGCGCTGCCGGAGCTCGTGGTGCTGCTGGTGTTGGAGGTGCTACTGGAGCTGCTGGTGCTGGAGGTGCTGGTGCTGCTGGTCTTGGAGGTGCTCGTACTAGAGGTGCTAGAGTTGCCGGAGCAGGTGGTGCTGCTGGTGCTGGAGGTGCTGGAGGTGCTACTGGAGCTGCTGGCACTGGAGGTGCTGGAGGTACTACTAGTGCTGGGGGCGCTGGAGCTGGAGGTACTGGAGGTACTGGAGGTGCTGGAGCTGCTGGTCCTGGAGGTGCTCGTACTAGAGGTGCTGGAGCTGCCGGAGCAGGTGGTGCTGCTGGTGCTAGAGGTGCTCGAGGTGCTACTGGAGCTGCTAGCACTGGAGGTGCTGGAGGTCCTACTGGTACTAGAGGTGCTGGCGCTGCCAGAGCTCGTGGTGCTGCTGGAGCTGGAGGTGCTACTGGAGCTGCTGGTGCTGGAGGAGCTGGAGCTGCTGGTACTGCCCCGCGCCGACTGTTTTTCTACCCGCAGCCGCATTCGTCCCTGCCGCCGCCTGACTTGGTCCTTCACCAGGTTCTTAGTCTCCCGTCTTCCACTGGCCTCACTCCACCTCTCCTGTGTCCACCGACAGACCAGTCTCAGCCAGAGCTACTGCCTGGCTCCTCGCTGCCTGCTCCTACTCCTCACACTGAGGTGACTGAGTCCCTGACTGAGCGTCGTGAGCCTGAGACTCGTGCTTCCACACCTGTTCGTGCTCGTCGTGTCGCCCGTCCTCGTCCTCCTGCTGTCCCAGGCACTCACGGTATGGCACTTCGTCCTTCCTCTGTTCCACAGCGTGTTGTCCTGCCTGAGCCTCCCGCGTCCTCTATGACAGGGATCGTAGTTCTGAATACCAAGTGTTACGAGTGCAATTGAGTGAACGAACGAAGATTGCACAAGCGAAGCAAGAGTACAATGAGCGAAGGAATGAGCGAACAATATATAGCGAAGCCTAGCATGGTAACGGTAATGCGTGAGAATGTGGTCCGCGACGGGCTTGGCGCCGAGGTTGGGAAATGTCGAGGCGGAGGACCGGAGCGCGGATAATGAACCGTACCGTGAGTTTGGGTCGCGATGTGAACAGTGGCGGGAACAGTGGTCAAGGCGAGTGTCGCGAGTGGTAACGTTTTACTGTAGGGTGCTGTTGGCCGGAACAATCGTGTACGCGTTAAGCAAGGGCGCCAAGTAAGGAAAATGTTTTTTCTTCCAAAAGTAAGGACAACCTGATCCCGACCATCCAAATCGAGGATGTACCACGTCCTTATCGTAAGCGTACAAGCCAAGCCAGTTTCCACAAAACCCCTGAATCTCTGGAGCCCAAGAGCCCCCACGCACGCCTCGCTACCGCTAGGTGCTGTACATCGGAATTTCCTCTCCGGTCAACACGGGCATTGCCAGCGTGTCTGAGTTCCCTATGGTCACATCGATTCTGGAGTTCGGTGGATGCTGCAGCCACGCCAGCCACACTAGCCTGTGTGTTTCAAGTCGCCACGGAAAGTCGCAGCCCGCATCATCCCCTCGACTCAGCTCTTCGACTTAGATTGGTGCGAAGGCAGTAAGCGATAACTCCTTGCTTTGTTGAATTTGCCGTATGATATAACTCTGCCTTACACTCAGCTAAGTTCCTCTGTCGCCAGCCCCTGCTCCTCCATTCGTTAGACAAAAGGCTTTCGACTGTCGCATTGGCTCCTCGCGACCGCGCGCCGTCGTGCGACGATGACTAGCACCGAATCAGACAAACGTACAGCCCTCGCGTGCTTGTTCGACGCGCACTCGCTTCGATGGCGGCTCGTGAACCTCGGATACGGAGAGTCAGCCGGCAGCGCTGACAGCCAGCCAGCCTGCACCCGGCGCGGCAGCACGTGCCACCGCTTGGAAGAGCAGTGCTGCCCGTCGCGGGAGAATCTGTGGACCACCGGCGACCCGCCGCGCCTTGACATGGACGACCCGCCGCGCCTTGACTCGGACGAAGCTCTGCGAGAGGGGATCTCGGCGAGAAATCCTGGTTTTCAATCCCCCTCCGACTTGTCACCTTGGCCGAGGGGATCCCCTCCGCAGGCAATCGCAGCCGCAGCCAAGGCAGAGGTTGCAGCAGCAACAACAGCAGTAACGGCAGCAGCAGCAGCAGCAGCAGCGGCAGCAGCAGCGGCAGCAGAGGGGCGGCATGCAGCGCCGTTCCTAGTGGACGACCTGATGGGCATGGAGCAGCTGAGCCGCGTGATGCGGGGCGGCAATTACCGCTGCAACCGCTGCTCCGACCCCGAAGTGTTTCTCTCCAAGCACGAGCGCCTGGAGAACTCACCTCTTCCGCTCACCGATCCCTTGCGCACGCGTCTCCAGCAGCTACTGTCGCGACACCCGCAGCACGTGAGCGCGCTTCACTTGCCCGTGACACCCGACAGCTCCTCGGACGAGGCCTGGCAGCTTTCGGAGCTGATTCTGGCCCTCTCGCGCTGATGCGTGAACCTGCGGTCGCTGCACCTTGTCTCTGAGCCGCCGAGACACGCCTTGTGCCCGTTTCATGAGGAACTGGCAAAGCCCAGCGTTTGGAGATGGAAGGAGCAAGCTCAGGCGGAGCAGATGAGGGAACGAGTTGTCCGCATCTACGATCGCTGCACTTCAGCCTCTGTAGCAACAACTACCTCACAATGAGTGAAGAAGTAGCTGCCTTGCTCTCCCATCTCGCCCACCTCTCCCTGCCTCTCTCCGACCTCCCGCCTTACCTCCTTCCCCACCTCTCCTCCCTCCGCTCCCTCCGCCTCTCCCTCTCTGCTCCCCACCATCCGCTCCTCCTCTCCGGTCGCCCCTTCCACTCTCTCTCCCGCCTCTCCCTCCTCCACCTCTCCCTTGGTTCTCCCACCGCCGGACTTTCCGAACCACTCTCGCCAGACCTGTTTGCTGGGCTCGGACCGAGCCTGTCGTCCTTGACGTTCCTAGTGTGTGCGTAGCCAACAGGGGCGGAAGGGGAGAGGAGGAAAAGGCGTGGTGAGGGGGCGCAGGGGGGAGGGGGTAGGGGTGGGGGAATAGGAGAAAGTGTGGAAGGAGGAGGTGGTGAGGAGGAGGAGGGAGGCGGATGGGTGGGCGATGGGTGGGCTGGGGAGGACTCGGTGGTGGGGTGGCTGCCTGCCTCGCTGTGGTCGCTCACGCGCCTGCAGCAGCTCACCACCAACGTGGGAGGCGAGTGGCACTGCACGGGCCTCAACGCCCTCTTCCCCCCCCACGATTCTACACACCCGCACCAGTGCCACCGGCAGTGCCTAGCCGCCCTCCCGAACCTGACCTCTCTCTCCCTCCTTGCTCACCGCACCTTCCCTCCCTGCCTCTCCTCCCTCTCCTCCCTCACTCTCCTCTCCATCCCCCTCGCCTCCCCTCTCCACTGCCCCGCTTCTCTCGCCCTCTTTGCCCACTGGCCCCGTTTGTCTCATCTGCACGTGAGTGGTGAGGGTCCCGCCAAACCTACCTTCTGCCACACCAAACCTGCAACTGGTCACACCAAACCTCTCTTGTGCCCCGAAGCAACCCTGTCGTCAGCCTCCCTCCGCCACGTCACTCTCACGGGGACAGCTGGCGTCATCCCATTGGCGGTGTGGGGGCGGCTGTGCCCTCAGCTGCAGTCGCTCAAGATCCACGGCTCGCCCCGAGTGGCTGTCCGTGGGTTGGGGGAGGCGAAAGGGGAGGGGCATGGTGAGGGCGCTCGTGGTGCGGCAGAGACGGCAGCTGCGTGCTTCTTCCCTTTCCTTGAGGAGCTTGTGCTGTGCAATGTGCGCATAGGACCAAGCTATGCACACTCGCAGAAGCAGCAGCAGCAGCAGCAGCAGCACACGCTCGCATTCATGGGCCTTCTGCCGCGCCTGACCCACTTGGCCATTCATGACACCCGATGGCCTTCCCACCCCGAAATGCACGCACCCACCATCCTGCCGCACCTCCTCCCCAACCTCACCTTCCTGCGCATCCACTCCCCCCCACGTGCCCCCCTGCCCGTGCTGCCCCACCTGCGCACGCTCATAGTGGGGTCCTACCCGCACTCCTCGCGCTTCCTCGCCTCGCTCGCCCTCTTCCCCGCCCTCACTGCCCTCCGCATCTTCAACCTCTCCACGCACAACTACCACTCCGCCCTCTCCTGCCCTCCCCACCTCAAATCGCTCCAAATCTGCCACTCCCACACTCCCCTCCTCCCCGACTGCCTCCGCCTCTTCTCCTCCCTCACTCGCCTGCACCTCTTCCAGTGTACCCCGCTCCGCGCCCTCCCCTCCTTCCTCTCCTCCTTCTCCTCCCTCACCCACTTCTCCTTCAACCGTGGCTCTGTTGTGACGCCTGTGGGGCTCGAAGGGTATCTGCAGGGGAGAGGCTGGGCGCGAAAGCAGGAGGAGGAGCAGAAGCGGAAGTGGCAGGGGAAGGAGCATCAAAGGAGGAGATGGAAGTCACCGTGCGAGATTGTGGAGGAGAGGAGGAGAAAGACGCGCTTCTGGAGTGTGCTTGAGGAATCGGTGTTGAGTGAGGAGCAGAAGGAGGAGCAGAGGGAGTGGTGGCGGCAGGTGGCGAGCGAAGGGGAAGGGGAGCGGGAGTGGAGTTCTCAGGGTGTAAGTGGAGAGGGGGAGGAAAGGCAGCAGCAGCCGCTGCAGCAGCAGCAGGACCAGCAGCAGCAGCAGCAGCAGGAGGCGGAGCAGGGAGGGGGGTTGGTGCAAGGGGCTCCGACGCAAGGGGGAGAGATGGAGGTGAGAGTGCAAGCCTCTCGCAATCATGATTCACACAACCAAGGGAATATAACACCAGAGGAGGTACCAGCAGAGGTGTTACAGCATCTGATGGACAGCAGCAGCAGCAGCAGCGGCAGCACTCCCAGAAGCAGCAGTGCCGCCAGCACAAGCACGCAGGTGGTGCAGGAGCTACCATGGGATGTGCTACAAGGCGTGGTGCAGCGGGTGCAGAGTCCTGTGGAGCAGGCGAGAGTGAGACTGGTGTGCCGCGAGTGGCACCACTGCTGCCGCCTCCACACCTCCTGCTTCGCCCTCGCCCTCCACCCCCTCACACTCTCCTGGCTGCCCGTCCCCCTGCTCCACCCCCCTCCTCCCTCCTCCCCCTCCTCTTCTTCCAAACCGTACCGCAGCAGTCCCAGCATGATAAGCCACCTCGAGACGAGAGCAGCAGCAGCAGGTGTCAACGGCTCCCCTCTCTTCTCCTCCTCATGGCTCCCCTCCGACTCTCCCTTCTGGGTCATCCACTCCTCCCCCACCTCCCCCTTCTCCCTGCTAACCTCATCCCGCCCTCCCTTCACCCTCCCCCCTCCCATCACCCCCTCCTCCCTCTCCACCTGCTTCACCCACGATCTTTGGGAAGACTCCTGGCGCTCATGCATCCCCATCTGGTTCGCCTCGCTCCCCTCCCCCTCCTCCCTCGCCCACACCCTCGCCCACTACCCCAACCTCTCTACGCTCGCCCTTCCCCTCGTCTCCACCACGGCCTGCCCCCTCCGCCCCTCCCATCTGCGCTCTCTGCTCGCTGCTGCTGCCGCTCTCCCTGCTCTCACCTCCCTCTCCTTGCTCCTGGAGCCCGGCTTTACAGCCAACTGCGAGTGGGGGTATGGGCGAGAGGACTTGTGGGAGGACTGGCGGGAGGATGCTGTGGTGGAGAGGAAGGTGCGGCGATGGTGGGGAGAGGCGAACCAGGAGATGGAGAGGGGGCTGTTTGCCGTGCTGAAGAGATGCCGGGGACTCAAGAAGATGCATATTCAAGGGAAGTGGCTCACACACCGCCTCAAACTCCCCGACTCTCTCTTCCTGCGCTGCCCGCAACTCACCGCTCTCTCCCTCCCTCTCTCCCGCCTCCCCTCCTCCCTCCTCCTCCTCCTCTCGCGCCTCACCTCCCTCGCCCTCGCCCTCCCAGCAGACCCCATGCCACAACAGCTCTCCCTCCCCTCCCCCTTCGCCCACCTCCCCTCCCTCCGCTCACTCTCCCTGCACGTACAGGATACCCTCAGCCCCTACTACCTCCCTAAGGAGGGCAGCAGCTGGAGCAGCGTATCTGACGACCTGCTGCTGGGGCTGCCCTCCTGCCTCTCCTCCCTCTCCCTGCACCTCCCCACCTCCTCCATGCCCTCTTCCTTCTCCTGCCTCACTTCCCTGACACGCCTCGACACCAACCTGTGGATTCCGGGAATGGATGAAGAGGAAGAGGAGGAAGAGGAGGAGGAGGAGGAGGAGGAAGGGGTGGGAGAGGAGGAGGAAGAGGTGGGAGAGGAGGAGGAAGAGGTGGGAGAGGAGGAGGAAGAGGTGGGAGAGGAGGAGGAGGTAGGTGAGGTTGCGGCAGTGGAAGAAAGCAATGAGGAGGAGGAGCAGAGCAACGGGCTTTGCAACGCAGGTGTTGCCTCGGGAGTCATTGAAGAGAGACTGCTGCCTCTCTGCAACCTCACCTCCCTCTCTCTCCCCCACTACCGATTCTTCCCTTCTCTAATTCGCCACCTCACCCGCCTCACCTCCCTTTCCCTCCCATCCCCCCACTTCTCATACGATCACCAAGTCAACAGCACCCCGCCCTGCTCCTTCCACCACGGCCTCTCTCGCCTCACTCGCCTGCAGGACCTCTTTCTCGCTTGCGACCGCCGCTGCGAGAGCTCCGACTCAGCCTGCCTGCCCCGCTTGCCCCGCCTGCGTCGCCTGCGCGTGCAATTCCCTGATGAAACCGTGAACGTCGCTCGGTTCATCGCACACGTGGCAGCATCCCTGGAGCAGCTTGACATAAGAGCTGACTACCGCAACTATACTTCAGCAGATCTTTGTGGCATGGCTGGCTGGACGGCGCCTGTGTTTCACAAGCTCAAGGTGCTGCAGCTGGTAACGTCAGGCCCCACTTCCAATGTGGATATGTCGCTCTTCCCTGCCCTGGAGCACATGGCTCTCGCTGGCAGCCGATATGTGTCCTGGAAGGTGGAGAACGGCTTCTCTGCCAACCTCCGCTTCCTGCACTTGGACCGTGCAAAGCTGTCGGGATATGACAATGATCGTCAGCTGACGCAGCTGACGGCGCTCACCACTCTGGTGGTGGACAACGCTGACTGCCGGGACTTCCTTGCATGCCTCTCCTGCTTCTCCTCCGTGCACACCCTCCGCCTCTCCAACATCACCAGAGGCTGCTCCCAGCCCTATCTCACCTGCCCGCCTCGCCTCGCCACGCTTCAAATCTGCCGCTGCGACCTGCGACTGCTGAAATTCTCCCGCCTCACTCGTCTCGACCTCCTCCACTGGCGCCGCTTGCACTCTCTCCCGCCTTTCCTCTCCAAGTTCACATCACTCCGCCATTTCAGAGTCACCGCTGATGGCCCCATGCCCCACGTGCCTCCGTGCCTGGAAGAATTTCTCAAAGGCAAGAAATGGTACGAGCATTCGCATTGTGATGGTAGCTTTGAGGATTGAGCATGTCAGTGCTACGGTACCTCTTCGTTGTTCACCGCAAGATGTGTCAGAATGTAATGTTTGTCTAGCCTGCAGTGGGGTACTCTATAGCGAGTACAGCCCAAATTAGGGTTTGCTATATGTACTCAACTGCCTGCTAGTGAAAACCCTCATTCCTGTTTCTAGCTTGTGCCTGCTATTTCGACATGCTATCAGAGCAGGTCGACCCTCCTGGGTCGATCCTGTGGATGGGCCCGCCACCTAATGCTTCCGCTGCTGTCCTGCCTATCGCGCGCCCCAGGCGCGCGACGTGTTCTGCTTGCCGCGCGCTCGGGTGCACGGCGTATTTTTCATCCCGCCGCGCGCTCGGGGCGCGCGGCGGTTTTCTGCCCGCCGTGCGCCCCGAGGCGCGCGGCGGTTTTCTGCCCCGTCGATCCGCGTGTCGCCCCCCGTCGCCCGTCGCAGCGCCCCCGGGGACCCGCGCATCGCCCCCCGTCGCCCGTAGCGGCCCGCGCGACCTGCGCCAGGCCCGCGCGCGGCCCGTACAGCCCGCGCGCGGCCCGTACGGCTGCGCCAGGCCCTCGCGCGGCCCGTACAGCCCGCGCGCGGCCCGTACGGCCTGCGCCAGGCCCGCGCGCGAGCTGTACGGGCTGCGCCAGGCCCGCGCGCGGCTCGGGCAGCCCGCGCGCGGTTCGTCCGGCCTGCGCCAGGCCCGTGAGTGGCCCGTACCGTCTGCCCCAGTGCCGCACACCGTCCCCCGAGCTTCTGACCGCACTCCTGTGTTAGGGTTTGGGGGTGGAGAGTATGGGGTGCCGTGTGTGTGAGCCGTCCCCTGCTCCTCCTCCTCCTCCGTCTCCCACTGCTGCAGCTGCCGCTGAGGGGGGTGGATGTGTTGGAGCCGTCGGAGTGGTACGAGGGGGGTGGCGTGTGAGCGGTGCTAGTGGTTCAGCAGGGGGTGTGTGAAAGGGGTGTGGGACAGTTGGGGGAGGTTGACCGGAGGTAGCCGACTTGTCGTCCGCAGCGCCTGAAGTCCAGAGAGCCACGACCCCCTGTGGCCGTGTAGTCCGGGGCTCTGCGCCCGGTAGCTACAGTGTGAGCACTCCTGGTAGTCCAGAGAGCCACGACCCCCTGTGGCCGTGTAGTCCGGGGCTCTGCGCCCGGTAGCCACAGTGTGAGCACTCCTGGGAGCACAGTGAGCCAGCTGCGCCTGTCGCTGTGTAGCCCGGGTTTAGCCTGGTAGCGTCAGTGCTGCGCACTCCTGTTGCCCGTGTGTCTGCAGCTTCAGCCGTCGCCTCTCATCTTCTCGCCCCCACAGTTTCTCCTCCTCCTCACTTGCCCTCTGTGATAGCCTCTAGCTTTGCTTGTATTTGTGAACCTACTGCTCTGCCTGCTGTCAAAGCATATGCTTGTTATATATGTGTAGGCTGTAGTGGGGTAGCCAATATGGGGTACAGCCCCTTTTAGGTTTTCATACTTGTACCCAACTCTTTGATAGTTCAATCATTCCTGCTGCTAGATTCTGACATGGTTTCAGAGCACTAGGTCCGTAGGACCGTTTTTTTTTTCGGGCCCACCTACCGTTGCGATTACCGCGTTACCCCACGTGTTGGCCTGCCTGCCTGCCTTGCCTTGTGACGTGCTGCGCTGCGCGCGCCGTCCTGCAGCCCTCGTGCTGCCTACTGCTGCCCTAGGCCAGAGCGCTGCCCCTGCAGGCCCGTAAGACCCACGCGCTGCACCTGCAGACACGTCACGCCTGCGAGCCGCCCCTGCAGGCCCGTCAGGCCAGGGCGCCGCCCCGCCAAATCGCTGCCCCGCGCGTCACGCCCACAGCCCGCGCGTCGCGCTGCAGCCCCGCGCGTCGCGCCTACAGCCCGCGCGTCGCGCTGCAGCCCCGCGCGCCGCGGCTGCCGTCCTCGCGCAGCCCGCGGCGGCTTCGCGCGCCGCGCCCGCTGCCCGCGCGTCGCGCTCGCTGCCCGCGCGTCGCGCTGCAGCCCCGCGCGCCGCGGCTGCCGTCCTCGCGCAGCCCGCGGCGGCTTCGCGCGCCGCACCCACGGCTCGCGTCGCGCGCTGCAGCCTCGCGCGCCGCGGCTGCCCCTGGACGCCACCGTCACTCCTGTAGCAGCTGCCGCGGAGCGCCCTGCCACAGTAGCGGCCCCGCCCTACAGCAGCTGCCGCGGAGCCTCCTACCGCCGTCGCGGCCCTGCCCTGCAGCAGCTACCGCGGAGCCTTCTGCAGCAGTCACCTCCCCGCCCTGCAGCAGCAGTCGCGGACCTGCCCTACCTCCGACGCGGTCCTGCTCTGCCGCAGCTGTCGCGGCCCCGCCGTCGCCGCCGTCGTGCGCCTGCCCTTCTCGCCACTGGTGAGCACCTGCCTGCCTGCCTGCCTGCCTGCCTGCCACGCCTGCTTGCCTGCCTGCCTGCCGCGCCTGCCCTGCCCGCGCTACTACTACTGCTAGACTGCTGCTGCAACTGCTGCTGCTGCTGCTGCTGCTGCTACTACTGCTACTACTGCTACTGGCGGTGGCCAGATGCAGCTCCAGCGACGTTCACGCGAGTCTCTCACGCCCCAGCAGCTTAGTGAGTGGTACGCTAGTTGGGGTTGTGGCGGTCGCCGTCGTAGCTGTCGCCCTGGAGCTGGTCAGTTGGGAGCGTCTGGCAGTGGCCAGCTGCAGCTACAGCGGCGTCCACGCGAGACACTTACGTCCCAGTAGCTTCACGAGTGGCACGCTCAGAGTAGAGGGTTTTTGAGTACCGTTCGCTGCCCGTACGTCATTCGCACAGGTGATCGGACTGGTCAGGCTTGCGGGACGCTTGGTCACACACAGTCCCGCTGCTTCGCCCGTCTGAGCGACGCCTGGCGTACCGAGTTTGGCGACGAGGCTGAGCTCCCCTCCTGGCTGGAGCTGCTTGGACAGAGGGTAGATATCTTTGCTCTTGACTATGATGCTATTCTCACTACCATGTATGCATTGCCTACTAGTGCTGACCGTGCCTGTTCCCTGTGCGTACCGCCTGACCCAGGTATAGAGCCTGCTGCTCTAGGTGCTAGTGCGTCTCCTGCGCTAGGTGCTGGTGAGGCTGCTGCTCTAGGTGCTAGTGCGTCTCCTGCTCTAGGTACTGGTGAGGCTGCTGCTCCAGGTGCTGGTGAGTCTGCTCTCTCTGGTACTGCCCCTGCTGAGGCCGTGTACACCTTTACACTTGACTCAGGTGCTTCCCGCTCCTTCTTTCGCGACAGCACCACACTCACGCCGCTCCGTCGGCCGGTTGCAGTCTCCCTGGCAGACCCCTCTGGGGGTCCAGTCCTTGCGCACTCCTCCACGGTCCTGCCGTGTCCGGCGGTCCCGTTTGGCTCCCTGTCAGGTCTTCACCTCCCCTCGTTCTCTACGAACTTGGTGAGTGGAGCTGACCTACAGGATGTGTGGGTTGACCAGTTCACCCCTGGAGGCCAGCGTGTGACCCACTGTACATGCTCCCGGACTGGTCGGCACCTGGCCACGCTCACCCGAGAGCCTGGCTCGAGTCTGTACACACTGACCACTGTGTCCCCTCAGGTAGCTGCGTCTGCGTCTGCGTTTGCGTCAGGTCAGCTAGCGGCCCCCTGTTTGTGTCGCGCTTTGTCGCACCAGACCGTCCTGTGGCACCACCGCCTTGGTCACCCCTCGGTGCAGCGCCTTCGTAGCATGCACCGCCGTTTCCTTGTCTCTGGACTTCCAGAGACTCTGCCTCCTCTACCGCCCTCGCGTGCTCCTCCCTGTCTTCCCTGTGTCGAGGGGCGGCAGCGCGCCGCTCCTCACTCCTCCTCGTTCCCTCCCACAGAGGCTCCCTTGCAGACTCTCCACCTGGACGTGTGGGGCCCAGCCCGCGTCCGTGGACAGGGCCACGAGCGGTACTTCCTGCTGGTCGTCGACGACTACACGCGTTACACCACGGTCTTCCCCTTGCGCAGCAAGGGGGAGGTCCCTGATGTTTTGATCCCCTGGATCCGCGCTGTTCGTCTCCAGCTCCGCGAGCGGTTCCAGTCGGACTTTCCTGTCCTGCGTCTGCACTCTGACAGAGGTGGTGAGTTCTCCTCAGACCTCTTGGCAGCCTACTGTGCGGAGCACGGCATCCGCCAGTCGTTCACGCTTCCGGCCTCTCCGCAGCAGAATGGGGTTGCTGAGCGCCGCATTGGCTTAGTCATGGAGGTCGCTCGTACCTCCATGATCCATGCGGCTGCCCCCCATTTTCTGTGGCCGTTTGCGGTCCGGTACGCCGCGCATCAGCTCAACCTCAGGCCCCGTGTCTCCTTGCCGGAGACCTCGCCCACACTGCTGTGGATGGGGAAGGTTGGCGATGCGTCGCGTTTCCGGGTCTGGGGTGCTCGTGCCTTTGTCCGCGATACCACCGCAGACAAGCTCTCCGCCCGCGCTGTTCCCTGTGTCTTCCTTGGCTTTGTCCCTGACGCGTCTGGTTGGCAGTTTTACCACCCCACCTCGCGCCGTGTCTTCCCCTCTAAGGACGTCACGTTCGACGAGTCGGTTCCCTTTTACCGTCTCTTCCCCTACCGCACTGCCCCTCTCCCCCCCCCGCCGCTCTTCCTCGCTCCAGGTGCTCCCCAGGTAGACCCCCTCCCCGCTCCCGGTCCTGCTCCTTCAGGTGTGTCTCAGGTAGACCCTCCTCCTCAGATTGAGGTAACTGGTGACTCAGGTCCTGCTGAGGGTGGTCCTGCTCGGGGTGCTGCTGCTGGGGGTGCTGAGCCTGGGGGTGCGGAGCCTGGGGGTGCTGAGCCTGGGGGTGCTGAGCCTGGGGGTGCTGAGCCTGGGGGTGCGGAGCCTGGAGGTGCGGAGCCTGGGGGTGCGGAGACTGGAGGTGCTGAGCCTGGGTGTGAGGAGTCTTGGGGTGCTGAGCCTGGGGGCGCTGAGGCGTCTGGTGAGCAGTCTCCCTGGAGCGGCCGTCTCCGTAGTCGCTCCGCTGGTGCCTCGCCGCTGCACTCTCGTCGTCGACTCCCTCTCTCCCCACAGCAGCTGCTTGAGTGGTACGCTG